GACTATATTTTTAAAAATAACCACTTTTTTTTGTACTATATAATTATGTTTTCAATCGACTTCAAAGTAGGAGCAGGTTCTCATATCGGTTGTATTTTTTTATGTTTATTATCTCATAATTCCGTCATTTAATTATAAACTGATTTGGAAAATTCTTTTTTTATCAGAAATGATATACTTACAGACTAATCCTATAGAAGTTTTATTAGTATCAGTTCAGTAGTTTAGTTTTTAAATCAAAATAACTTATGTTACCACGATTAGTCTTTTTTTATGTAGATAGATAGATAGATAATTTATTTGCATCACTTACAGTACACAAACAGCAAAAGATACAAAAGCAAAGTGAAAAAAGATAAAAAAAGATACATGTACAAAAGATTAAAAATAATCAAAAACAAAATCAGATTGCATAAAATTAGTAAAATATTTTTTTTTTCTTCATGCGTGTGCCAAAGTAATACAAAATGGCCACAACTCAGCTTTTTGCTTTGCCCTAAAAAGAGCAAAACACTGATATTCTGTTGTGGCCAAAAGTGAGCCGCGAAATACCACTATATACTAAATCTTAAATTATTATACAATGTAATTTTGTATCAATTTGAAGAATTAATTAGAATTTCCCTCGTATTGGTCAAAATCCACGCATATGATGTCGCGGTTAAAAACTAGTCCTAAATAATCCTATCAGTAATACACTTCAAGTGATTCAATTAACCCAATAATAATGAGTCCTAACATGATGGAAGTAAAGTCGTAAATCATGTACAAGTAACATCGATAAAGCTACCCATAAACATTGCATTGATTCCTATAATGAGCTATTGTACCGATGCAGTCGATCGCTTTGTGTTCACTAATGATAAAATTCTTGAATATCAAACATCCATTTGTGACTATTTTTTAGCAATGAGTACATTCATATGACTGGGATATTTTGATTGACTGGAATAAAGTAACAATTGTTTGAAACGATGCCTACAGCCACGTTTTATCATCGCACCGTTCGCTATCAACAGGGAATTCATTCTCATACGCTCGAACCTAAATTGTCACGTACAGTGCGGTTCCAGAGAAATTTTGTAAAACAATGTAAACTTTACCGCGTCGGACTGGCCATATATAGGCTCCAGCCTACGTGGGGCCCACAGGCCTGGCTTGCAGGGACTACCAACTAATGCAACTACTCATACTATCATATAGTCTCCGGCCCCGGGCTTGTGGTTAGCCACCCGGGCCCTTCCAGCCCAGTCCGACCCTGAATCTTTATGTGGCATAAAATATTAATAAATAAATAAAGTTTAATAATCAAAGCTAAATAAAAAATCCATAGGATTCAAATTTTTATAATCACACGATAATTATTGATATGATTTTAAAATTTTAATAATTATTATGAATACTCAAATTAAAAGTTACGAAATATATTGAGTGACCAACAAAAAGTGTAGTGTATGGCCTGACCTTCTCCTTGCCGAATACTACATGTAATCTTAATGTACTAATCGGATAAACCATTCAGACGATAAGAGATAACAAACAAATAAACAAATACACATTTATTTATTATTTGTACAACTTTACTTTCACATTTATAGTATAAATAAATAAATCCTATTTATACAATAAATGCAAAAGTTTGTAACGGAAGATGTATAGATATTTGTTACGCTTTCACGCAAAAAATACTAAACGGATTTGAATGAAATTTACTACACAGGTAAGTTATATCCCACCTTAGTATATAGGATACTTTATGTACTGATTCACGAGATACAACTAGTTATATATTGGTCATATTACACAATACCATTTATTCCTAAACTAAACAAAGTTTGAACTATAGGCAATGAGTATTAGACAGTTAATAGAAATCCTTAAATACTTTTTTATTTGTAAATACATACATATTATACATAGAAAACACCCAGGTCAATACAAACAGTCATACACATAAATACAAATGTTTATATTGTGCAGGGCTCGAACCCGCGAACAGAAAAGTATGTTAAATCAGTAGAATATCAAGGTCATTGATAAGAATATGACGTACATGTCGAGACGACTTCAAAGCTCCGCTTGACTACAAAATAGATAGTACATATAGTATAAATGTAGATGATAATATTTAATCTGTGTTTAATTTTTTTTTTCATATTGACCTTTAACAACGCACTTGTATAGTTCAATTTTCCAATAACAATAATTAAAGCAATACGACTCAAATAAACGATTTTTTTTGTAAACTTTTATTTAACTTGTTTTAATCGTTTGTTTTTCCGGTTCATAGTCTATTTGACATTTTTCAAACACTTCTTCACGTTGCCGTCTAATCTAAATCATAATTCCAACTGAGTTATTTCTCTTGGAAACTAACTTGGTGAATTCCTAATTAAGTCGTGATAGTGCTCCGTAAACGTAAACCAATGTGGGTATTAAGGATGGAAGAATAGATTTAGAAAACTATACTTTTTTACCTGATTTGACATATTTTTTATACCACGAAAGTGGAAAACAAGAATACAGCCTGTCTGATGATAAACAGTTACTGTAGCTTATGGACGCCTGCAACAGTAGGGTTGTAACATACTAACAGATTGGTCCCATAAAAGTATTAATAGAATAGGATCAATAGATTAGTTTTTAAATCAAAATAACTGAAATCAGGGTTTCTTTTTTTTTATACAACTTAGAATGGCAAACAAGCTGACGGCCTACCTGATGGAATGTGGTAACCGTCGCCTATAGACATAAGCAGTACCATGGACATAACAGAGTATACTGTTTCGCCCATGATACCCCCCATGCGTTGCCATTCCTGAGGCCTCAGGTGTTATTCCTCTGTATCCTGTAAATTCACGCCATATCCCACCCTTCAAACCGAAACACAGCCATGCAAACACAACTGCTCCACGGTTGAAACATAAATGGGACAGAGGTACCCAAGCAATCGACTTTTGTACGAAGTCTTCCTCTGGTAAAATGATGATTTGTGGACCACCATCTTAAATTATGTCATTGATGGAGCGAAATCTGCTTGTACATTTTTATAATAACATTAGACGATGTTATTACCTAACTTTACGCTAATGTACCTACTCTCAGTTTAGTGTCTTTGATCTATACAATTACGGTAATTATATATAAATTTCCAAAATTGCCGAATAAATTTTTATCACGCACAAGCTCACTTATCATTATAGGCAAAATACAATGAACAATGTTATAAAAAACTTCCATAAAAACAACTGTGTGTTACTAATAGCTAATATCATAGCATGACTCAGAACAGAATTTAGGTACAAATAAATATAATACGAACAGATAAGTCGAGCAGTGGTGTCTAACTATAAAGAGTACATTGGTTGTTAAAATTTCACAATTTTAGTGACAATAAAGAAGAAAATTTGAAAACCAATTCATTCACTTATCTAGCCTTCAATAATTAAATTAAGAATATTGCTAATTTTATTATAGTGTACAGAAAAATAACCCATACAGTTCCGTTGGTCCTAAGTTCATACCCGGACAATAAAAATCATTGTATACATAAATATTAGATAGTACAATGTTAGAGTATTTTATATATAATACGTATGTATTTATAAATAAAATATTTATAGAAATAACCATTAAGTTGCCTTACTGCTTAGTTTGGAACTAGTTGGTACTATGTAATAGGTTCAGCGGTAGTTGTAAATTAATGTTTTTGAAAAATTAAAGCGATATCAAATTTACCAAAATTCTTATTTAATATTTGTTATAATGTGTAATATGGTATATATAATTAAAAATGCATGTTATTGCACTTTTTTGTGTTATTATCCACTAGCTTTGCACGTGTAGATGGAAAATAATATTTAGCCTATGTTATTCGCTGATAATGTAGCATTCTAAAAGATTAAGAATGGATTTTTAAAACCCGTTAAGTAGTTTTGAATTCCATTCCAAACAAACAATTAAATCTTTCTAATATTTCGAATATTAGCATAGATAAAGTAAACCACGTAACAGTACCTACTCACAATACGAAATAACATACTTCAAGACATGTCGACGTACGAAGAAGTGTGAGAGAATAAGTGGTACAAACGATCAGAAGTGCCAGCTTAAAAAATAAAACGTACCTACTTCAAATAATCAATGGTAAACAGAAAAATTATATGTTAGGTCACAAGTACAATGAATTATACAAATTAAAATAGATATTATTATACTCTACGTACTACTATATATATATATATATATATATATATATATATATATATATATATATATATATATATATATATATATATATATATATATATATATATATATATATATATATATATATATGCTATTATAAATAGTTTATTATAACTATGAAACATAAAAAAATTAGCTGATAAGAAATTAACTATTGTAATCCAAAGCATAGATAATTAAAATGGCGACTTAATAATAGTTAACGTAAACAAAGGTTAATCGAGTAGCGACCTCATATCACTAAACAAATGGTGACCGCACTTGATAGAATAATACCTACTTGATAATTTACATACCATATGAAGGGTATAAGCAAAGAACAGACAATGTTCTAATAAATTTATTAAATAATATAAGAAAAATACACAAAAGTTATAGTTTACAATATTATGCGGTGAATGGTTTATAATTTATAAAAGACGAGAATTAACGCGATCGTTTAGGTAAGTAAGATAATTTATCTGTATTAAGCCGTGGTCACGAGCAGACTGATGTAGCGCTGACATGTTTATGCTTCCGAGGCAAAAGTTATTTCTTCTACCCACACTTTGTGATGTGAAAAAATTATAATTTACCTAAATGATCACACTAATTCCAGTCTCTTATAAACATAATATTTTTAAAATTCATGTCCATTTTTATTATGCAATATTGAAAATTTAATGAAATTACGTTATTAATTAAGTTCCCAATATCCAGTATTGGTATTCTATGGCTTTTACTTAAAACTAATAATGAGTTATTAGAATTTTTAGTTTGTGAAATAAAATTAATTGAGAAGGAAAAAACGAAGATTGTGACATTCACTGTTCTTTGCCTTTAACCTTCATATAGTCTAGTAGATCCTTGCCACACATCTGAAATTAGTATTTTCAATTTGGCGACCTTACTGGTGCGTAGCTTTGCATACAAGAGGTCCCAGATTCGATTCCCAATCGGGTCTATTTAAAAACAAATTTTTCGGAATTAGATCGAGTCGGAATATTCTGTATATTGTGTTGTGCCCCCAGGTGTTCTCTGGCTGGTTTTCCATAACACCTGTATCGGTATTCTAATTTGAAGATCCAAGTGAAGAGAAGAATTCCAAGTGAAGGTATGATTATATGCCATTAAATAAATAAACTAATAGATTTATTCTACAAAATTTTACAATGTAGCTTTTTCGTGTTCAACAAATCTTTTTCATCAATCAATCAAGGTATCATCGCTCTAAAATTTTAAAAAATTCGTAGATTTATTATTAAATTCATAAACATAAAACCTTTTCTTTGCAAAATGCAGTAACCAAAATTACAATAATTTTAAGACATCCTTTAATATTGTTCTTAACATCGAAAAATTACGGACGTATATACTTTATATATGATAAGTCACCCTTGTTGACACCAATCATAGACATAATCATCAATCGATCAGAATCGATCAGATCGAATCAAAAGATCTTATTCACTTCTCTTGATTAGAAGTAAGAACATTTCGTTATCATTAAAATATCATCAATTTTTAAAGTCAATTCTACCTAGTATTATATATACATTTGGATAAAATTACATTCTGATTACTTTGTTGACTTTGAAAAAAACCGTGACGTTATTGGAAACACGGCAAAGCTTTAATTCAAACGCGATTTCTCTAATAGTAGATATTGTAAACATGGAAATATATTATTAATAGATTGGTATAGTATATCTACGGATAAAAATATATCCATCTAAATGAAACTAGCTTACCGGACACGATTGATTTTTACAGTCTGCTGATTGCAAACTTTTTACTTGATTCCCGCAAATAAGGTAAGTCATTACCAAAGCCTAACTGCGGTTGCCAACTCACCTGCCTAGCATGGCAACTACTGGCAAAACGAGAAATATTTGTTATCTGATCCGTAATAAAGAAAATCGTACATCAATTTAAATATCTTCTATAACTATCCTCTGTTAAGACAAAACGGTAATAGACTCATCTTTACCATAAGAATCATTAATCTGGGGCCTCATAAAAATGCTATACCTCGGGGTAAAAATGCTAGTAATTGAGCTTTACCACAAAAGTAAGTAGTATTGAGTACCCCTGAAAGTATGGGGGGTTCGTGGAAACCTCCAACAAAAAAACCTCCACGCAGCCCCTCTAAACAATATCATGGTTAATTTATGGTGAATTCATCGTAGTGGATCAATAGATCTAATTACATTCCCACCTTTATGCCCACAGATATCTGGCTAAAATAAATAAGTAGCCCAGAGAAGGCTTTTAATTATTATTTTTAATATTTAGGTAACTAACTCATCTATGTAGTAAGTAATTAACCTCAGAGAAAACAATTTTTGTATGCGATTGATACTGAAATTATATAATATAATAATTATATTTTTATCATGACACGTGCTATATTAAAACACTAAAAATTTACGATTTATACAAATTATGTTTATACATATCTTATTAATTGTAAAATTATATAAATACATGCTATAATAGTGTGATAATGCTTTGACATCTCGTATCTGTAAAAAACACTATTCCGTGTATTGTATACCTAAGTTGGATTAAATATTGTTTAAAAATAGATAGTAGCTATCTAACCTATAACATCCTTTATGTACTCAATAATAATAAACACCCAATGATTTTTTTGTTTTATTATAATTTATCGTAATACATATTATACTGTTACTATACTATATGGAGAATCAAATGCAAGAACTCATTTAGTTCTTGAATTTGATTCTCCGTGCTATTTAGGAAATGAACTTTATAAATTAACTCGGGTCTGGGTCTTCCCAGTCGTCATCAGATAATTACTTAGCCAGTTTTCCATAACACGGAATATCCTAGCATGTGAACCAAGCGATTGTAATTGTCTGGTATATTTTACTAGCTGTATCACACGGCTTCACCAGCGAGATTCAGTATATAGCATGTCTTGTGTGCTAAGTTAGGATGTAACCTATCCATGAACAAAATTACATTCAAATTCGTTCAGTAACTTGTGCTTGAAGGAGTAATAAATATCCATCCATCCGTTACAACTTTGGCATTTTTTTTTGGCAAATTAATTGCATTTAAAGTGCTTCTGTTTGGAAGTTCAGTTAAGGTCGCCATTTTTTTCTATCTGTTGTCAGTATCTGTAATATCTGTTATTGTTATCAGCCAGTCTAGTGCCTTTTTATTTGCTTGCTTGCCAATTTTATTAAAGACTACGGTCTAAATTTAGATATCTTTATTCAGATCTAAGATATGAGCATGAAAACACACTCTATCGCACTTGTAAAATAAATTAAAGTGACTGAAACCGAATGACAACATTTCAATAGAAAGCATTTAAACCTTAAAAACATTAACCCCATACAGAACCTTCTCTTTTTTGAAGTCGGTTGAAAAAACACTATGTAGTACAGACTATAAAGATGCTAAATATAACATGACAATAGGTAATCCATAGTGTAATTACTAACTATAATTACTAATTTCCGACTGATTTCAAAAAAGAAGAAATAAAATCGAAATGTCAACTTCGTTATTAATTCATTTATTTTTATGATATTATGTGATAATCGTGATAAGAAGTAATATATAAAATAATAATGAAAATGAGTTTTAGATTGAAAGACAGTCAATTTAAAACCAATTTTGATGATTCCCTTTTTTATGAAAAGGCGCAATATTAATTTCGTACTAATTTTATCAAGATTGGCGTCAACTTTTTATTTGCCGAACACGTCCGCTCATACTGATTCCAAGATAAAAGTAGAACAATAAACCGGCCAAGAACATGACACACGTTAGACGCGCTTTGTTATGGTTCCATAGATTATCTACATTTTCTATAATTGTAATATATATATAATTTATTATTCGCCTAACGTTTTCAAATTTTCTAAAGATTCTTAATCCATTTGAATGTTTTTATGGCTACTTTACATCGCCATTTCTGAACTGATTTTCACAATTCCTTTTTATTTTATTGCAATTTTGTGTATGTAATTTTTTTTTATTTAGTAATGTATTATTTTATTAAAATTAAACTGTAACGTTCCTTTGTATATTGCCTAATTATACGTACATATTTAATTAATTATAATATTATTTTTTTAAAACAAACAAGGTCATTCAAATATTGGTTTCATTAAAATATTTTCGGTATTAAAATCGGTTCTTCTTAATAGATGACAGAATTTAAATGCAAGTGATAGAATAATTTCTAAATACATAAATCACGGGGAATTAACGAAACTGTGTTTTGTCGTTTTTAACGATTGTTTTGTAATGTAAAAAATGAACATAAGTTTAAAAAATTTATAGAATAATGAAAAATTAACTGTTTAAAAAATGCTTGTCCGTGATGAAATGTATTTAAATTAACGTTATTTCTATTCTATTTTGCAACAATCCATAAGTACTTCTATTTTTCCTGTTCCATTGATACGATAATAGCTAATATATAAATTATACAATCAATAAATATAAAGTATGTTGTTTATTTACTATAACTTTTTGTGTGGTCCCGGTATAGAATAGGCACCCCTTTCTTTCTCATAGGTGTCGTAAGAGGGATGGCGAGGGATGGGAAACAGCGTCCCTCTTAAAACATCTACAAAGGCTAATTACAGTACCCAATGCGCTTGTCGAACGTAGCAACTATGGACAAAATACATAGATTCCGCGTTTCAAATTTCATTCATATCCGTTCAGTAGTTTTTACGTGAAAGAGTAATAAACATCCATCCATCTATTCATCCATCGTTACAAACTTATTAATAGAATAATTTTTATTATCTCTAAAATCGTAACATGTCAAATTTAATGTATATGAACCCGTAGCATAGCACGACACGACTCGATTTTATCGACACGATATAATAGGAATCAAGATATTCGCAATTGTGGATTATCGAGATGCTTTTATATTTCCGCGAAGTTATACACGTGCATAACATGACAACATATCGTGAACGTGTACAGAAAATTAAAATTGCCTTCATACAATTTTAGATATTTTGCTTTACTTTTATATCACTACGATAAAATCTTACTATGCTGTGCCGTGTGACGATAAATTTCAAAAGTACTCATAAATAAAAAAAAATGCCTAATTATATATTTTTAGAGAATCGTAATTACTGTTGTAATATAATATACATTACACAAATGATTAATATGCATTATCAAAATGCCCAAGAGGTACATTACATACATAAAAACAGTTATTTGTAAGTACCTAATAAAATATAATGTCAATAATTCCACTGTATTTTTTGTATGTATGTTTTGCGATTTCTTTGTCAAATTAGAACCTGTTTCAACGATAATCATTGCTGTAAATAAAACGGTTTATAATTAAGATGAATAAACACTAATTGTATTATAAAAAAATAAAAGTATTTATTGTGTAAGTATTTGCGAAAAAAATGGCAAAAATAAAGTAATAGTGATATTTTTGCTTAATTACAATTTATTAAAAAAAAAACTAATTTTAGTTCTTTTGATAACTGCCATTTTGTAAATAAATATTAAAAAGAAAAACAAATAATTTTATTAGCAACATTTACATAGGTAAATTCAAAATAAACTTTATTTAAGCAAATTTATACAAAATCGCCATTTTTATATTGTACTATTTTACTAATATAATAAAATTGTAAATAAACGATGTTTGTAAATGGGAGGCATTTAATAAAATTTAATATTTGGAGTTTAATAAGACAAATAAATACCAAAACAATAATTTTTAGAATTTTTGTTTATCCGTCTGTCTATCTGTGTATATATTTGTTTCGACATTATGCAAAACTTACTAAGTACACCATATTAGATGCGGTTTTCACAGTAGCATTCTTAAAGGTCTAACTTAAAATCTGGTATATATTTTATCTTAACACGCCATCTAGAAAAGAACTATTTATTTATTGGTTTTCTTACTACTAAAATCAACGCGTACGTAACAGCGGGCAAAAAGCTTAAAATTATGATATTCATAATTTACAATATTTAATAAATCATTTTCGATTATAACTCGATTTCGATGATTGATTTATTTAATCCTCTCACGATAACTATCTCCATGCAAATACTCACGGACATTGAATTATTAGAATAAATTCAAATAAAATAATTATTTAAACAATATATATATATATATATATATATATATATATATATATATAGATAGATATATACATAAATTGAATACGTCATAAATAAAATTGATCACGACTGTAGCAATAAATGGGGGTGATCAGAGACTAACCGACTATTACTAACATAATATCTTTATATAAATCTAAAAACAACCGTGAAATTATAAAAAGTTTAAGAGATATTTTATTTCCAAAAAATATATATTATATCAAACAGATTCAACTCATTGGAACTGTATAGATTAGTCTGAAATTAAATTTAGGTATTCATTAAGTCACCGAGTCCTATGATTCATGACTACTAGACCATGACGCCTATAAAAAACATTAGCTTAAAAATGTCTAACTAAATCTATAGATACATCTAATCCTGTACTTAAAAACTTATTTAAAAAAAATATTATCTCAATTTATTAGATAAAAAAAGGTATGGTAGTTAAAGATATTTGTCATAATTATATTACCGTTACGATGGTTAAAACACTCAGCATGCCCATATTATCTTTTTATAACGATAAAAGGCACAGGTAACAAAAATAAACTACTATAAATAAAAAAGTTACATACCTTCCTTTTCAACCGCCTCTAATTTTGTCCACAACAAACAAAACACAGTCCAGAAAATGAAATTCCGGCGTTTCGATAAAATTACGAGAAGAAAAAGCAGCACCAATCACCACAATTTTATTACTCTAATTTTGTTTAAATCAATTGCGTAGTTTAATGACAATAAATATTATTTTTTAATTTTCATAGGCACATTCGCTTATAATTTTTTATTGGTGCCGCGTTCGAATATCGAATGCCGAGATTTTGACCGACGATATCGCGCACACCCGGCGCTGTTTGGCGCGTTCTGGTATACTAAATAAACCGAACCGGCAGTTCGTGGCAAGTCCGCTTCGGAGCGACGGCCCCAGCTACCGTCAATTGTCACGCCAGACTAAATTATTTCGCCCATGCGTAAGTACGACGCATGAAGGGCGCATGCGCTCCCGATGATCAAAATAAACTGCATTTACCTAGTTGCATCTAGTGTATACACATGATACGCACAAATTTCTATAAAAAGATATATATTTGACATACCTACTTAAACAATGAAATCTGAAAATGGAGTAATTATAAGGAAAACATTTAATATAATTAACTAAGTAGTCTACTAATAATTCTAATAAAAATTAGATACTCTTCTCCTTTTGACGTATTTATTTATTCGTACAAAAATTTATTCGTATTACAAGATGTAAATAAATAATAGCAATGATATTCACTCATGATACAAAATGCATAAACTCATGGTATAATAGAAACCATAGATTATTATTATGAAAGGCAAACTAACCTAACTTCGTTTGCGTGCTTGTGTTTCGGTCTAGTCCTCATTAATTTCGGTTTAACCTTAGGGTTAATCTTATAAAATATGCATTCAAAATTCTAAATAAGGAGATATAGAAATAGGATTGATTTTGGAAAACTATTTTTCTAATAATATCTCCAAAATTAAAATGTCAATTTAATATTATAGCAAAATCTTTATGTTTTTTTATAGCAACCCCGCCTTCGCTAACGGTATACGCTGACGAAGCTCCAGTAAGAATGAAAAGGCAGGTCAGTTAGCCCATTATGATGAATACACCTGAAATTCGGCACGATGGTTTTCAGGGAGGATCACATGGAGGTCGACCTGACAGGGTTTATTGCTAGCAATGGAACTGGTAGTTCGCATTACTAACAATTCTTTCCTCCCAGTCTTTATACTTAGGATCAATATAAACGAAATTTCTAACTCATTTAAATCTAAATTATTATAAATTTAGTTAATAATGATATATATTTTATCTGGCTCCCAATAACATGCCGACATAATAATATGTACATTCTATGCTTGCTTTTATCCTTGCGAGTTTGTTCAACCCTTCAGCCCCAGATTACCTGCGAGAAAGATTTGCTTTTAAAATCCCCGATCCCCCTGTGTATTGTTTAAAACATTGTACATTGGAATCCTTTACAATGCAAGCTGCTTGTAAAGACTGGAATTACCTCCCAAATTATGAATGAGAACGACACAGACCGTTTATGGCTTCAAAGCTCAAAGAAAAAGATTTTACAATACAATTGGCATTTAAGTTAGTTACATTTATAACAGTTATTCTATTTTTATATTTATTTATATATTTATCTTTGTGTATATGTATATATATATTTGTTGACTGGAAGAAATCCCTTTAAGGAATAAGTCCGCCTGCGTATATTTATGTCATAACCTCATGTCTATATTACGATGGAATCTAGAAAATCATATAAATAAGTAAATAAAATATGTCGAAGGGAATTTACACTTTTAGGGATTTTACAAAAACAGAAAAGATATTAAATAACTTAATCTTAATCTGGAAAAATCAACTAATATGATAAAACACTAAGAATATTATTAATTATTTAAAATTTTAATTAGTATCCAATAAAAATCCGTAGGATTTTCCTTACCATTATACTAGTTTAAATTTAATTAGATAGCGTTTAGTGATTTTTCATATTACAAAATTAAATCTAGAGCGAAATATACAAGATGGAATATATTCGCCATCTTTCGTAATATGCCTGTGTATTTTTTTTTGTTTGATGGGTGAAATGGAATGGAACCCCGCCTGCGCTAACGGGATACGCTGGTGGAGCACCAGTGAAGGGTGAGAGGTGAGAATGAAAACAGGCCAGTTAGCCCATAATGATGAATTCATCAGGAATTAACCATGATAGTTTCCAGGGGGAACCGCGAGGAGGTCGACCTGGTTGGGTATATTGCTAGCAATGGGATTCTCAGTCTCCATTACTAACAATCCCTTTCCCCTCTATGCCTGTGTATTTGACGAACTCTCTAGTAACTACATTTTCTCATTACATATTTACAAGGTATAATTTAAGATCTATATATAAGACAATGGGGTCTAACAATCTGATTGCTATTAATATCAAGTCGATCATCTCATGGTTCCCCATGAAAACCATCGTAGTTAAATCTTGTGGAATTCGTCCACTTGTTTTTATCCTATCACCTATCATCTTTCATTGGTGCTCCATCAGCGTAAACTGATAGCGCAGGCGGAGTCACCATACCATTTTTATCATTAAAAGATTCTTTATATATGTATATATTGATTATTTATAACTATTGCTAATTACACAACATCTATCGCCTTAATTCTCTCTATTACGCAGAAACTAAAAATATCTGCAAAGTAGTTATATGAATTTTGTAGTCTTAGATAATTCCTAGCTTATAGATATCAATGTAGTCTTGCTACTGGTGAATGAATGAATGATTCTAAACTCTTGATGGTTCCCTTCAAAGAACACCACAGACTACAAAGATTAACAATATATATACAAAATAAATTATAGATTAACTTAATTATTAAATATAATTAATATATTTATTATTCTATCTTTCCCGTAGGTTTCGCAAGAGGAGAATAAGAGACCTTATTGGTCGAGGGAAGAGAAGCAGCATCCTTCTTTAAATATTACCAAACCCTAACTACTTTCTAACCCGCCTTCTAATTGTGGCAACTACTGGCAAAACCTTTAAATAAGAGGAGTCTATTTTCAGCAGTGGACAATTAACGGCCGACATGATGATGATGATGGCTGAAAATTACCATGACCTTGTTTTCTTAAAACATAATTGTATGATGGTTAGTAGTACAGCATTACATTGTCTTTTGAATGGTTGACGGAAATTTCGATGAACTCATAGACTCATTATAAAATAATCACGCAGATGAGATCAAATGAAAAAGGGATTTTCTAAAATAATTATTTTCCCAACAAATTGTTTACATTATCTAAATTGTTATTTGAATGACGGGAAGTTGTGTATCCAAATTTCTCGCTTAATTAATTTAATTATTAATAACATTGTATCTAGACGATCTCTATATACGTGGAATATTAACGAATAATAATAATATTAAAGGATATTTACTATTTTCATTTTTGGTTCAGTATCAAGCAAAAGGTAAAAGCGTGAATTAGTATATAAAGTATCCTATGTTATGTTAAGTTAGGATAAAACCTACCCACACACCTTCCTACCATTATCCCAATGGGGGAAAGGGATTGTTAGTAATGGAGATTGAGAATCCTATTGCTAGCAATATACCCAACCAGGTTGACCTCCTCGCGGTTCTCCCTGAAAAATATCATGATTAATTCCTGATTAATTCATCATGATGGGCTAACTGGCCTGTTTTCATCCTCATCGATCACCCTTCACTGGTGCCCCGCCAGCTTATCCCGTTAGCGCAGGCGGGGTTACTATTCCATTTTCTATCAATAAAAAAAAAACCCTTATCCCAATTATTATTTGGGGTCGGCAAAATATGGTTTTATCCATATTACTAGAGGATTTGGCTTATAGTTATATAACCGGCTGCCTACCTGACGTTAACCCTCTTTGGGAATACATTTTTTGGTGGTTTCTGCCACCTACGGTTTGGAGGAAAGGATTGAGAAAAAAAGGAAGAGAACGTTGGAAATGCGTAAAGGAAATCAGTAAATGAGAGGAATAAGGGACTGATGTGGGAAAGGAAAGGGGGCGGGGCACTGCAGTTGCAAAAAAGACTGGGACACTGCAGCTGCTCGGGTGGCCGGGGTCGCATACCCGTATGCTTTTATTCTAGAATCGGACAGATTTCTAGAGAAGAACACCCCTGACGCTAGGATATAACCTACCCGTGTACCAAATTGTATTAAAATCCATTCAATTGCTTTTGCGTGAAAGTGTAACAAACATTAATCCATCCATCCATCCATCGTTACAAATATTCGCATTTGTAATGTTAACAGAATAATAGGATGATTTTTACGATACATCTCTTTAAAATCGTCACAATAATCAATTCTAAAATTGTTCTGTACCTATGTACAAAAACTGTAGTTTTTCTTTTTTTCTATGACCACATAGAAAATTGATAACGAGTGTTTAACGAAAATATTAATTTTCTGCTGAAAGTAACTGAAAATTTTCCATTAGAATCGATTTAAGATATCATAATTTCAACTAAAAATCTCTCTCTCTCTCTCTCTCTCACTCTTTACTCAAGAAGTCTACTCTGTACAATTATAAATAGCCCGAGCCATTAAATATTAAAAAAAAAAACTTTAAAACCACCATCGTATTAAAACTTAAAAATGTAAAACTTCTTATAAACCAGTTTCACTCTGTTTTGTTACTTTCTTTCTAATTAAATACATATTTAGATAACACACTTCATTAGCTGTAATTACCTATGTCTATTCACAAAACATGAACTCATCGGATTTTTATTGTCTTCATTTTAAAAAACCTAATCTGAAGTTAAATTATATTCTCATGAGATATTGCTTAAATTATTGTATACTAACTGTATCTCACGACTTTGTTTCTGCGTATGTATAATGTTATAGAACCCCTACACGTGGGATCACATAATATAGTCTAGCCTAGTCTAAAAATCTAAACAGACTTTCAAGTGTGCGTTGTACAAAGATTTTCATTACTACTGAATTACATTCACTAGTACAGTGGTTCCTAAACTTTTAAGATAACGAAACACCCACCAAACATCTTTCATTTTATAGAACCCTACATCTTATGATTATAAATCTAAGACACTATAATTTAAATAAAAATATAAATAAATTTAGATATAAATTTGTAATGATTTCTAAATCTTAAATAAAATTTAGAATTAATTCAGAATTAATTGAATTTAGAGTATTCATTTTGCGCTATTTCAAAATAATATATTGTACTTAACTTAAATAATAACCACAGTCACTCCGACTGTGGTTATTATTTGAAAAGCAAAATGAACAGTTTCGCGGAACCCTGATGACTTTTCTACGGAACACCTATGTAGGTTCTGCGGAATTCACTTTAGGAATGGCTCCACTAGTGGATGGTTTAAATCAGGCTTGTGCTCAATTAAATTTTTTAGATCTTAAGATCTATAAAATTTAATTGAGTTTCTAGTTAAGCCACAATGTTTACATATACCACATTATGCATTTGGAATCACACAACAATATGGCACAAAGGCTTTTTTTTTAATTTAGAGTGCAATTACGTGAGGCAATAAATGCACTATACTAAAAGATACTTTGTATATTCATATTTTATTACTACATTGTATTAGAATTGTGTTATTAGTCAATAAGTAATTTAAAATGCTGATCCGTCACGCAAGCGGTTTCCTAAAGTAATTATTGTATAAAATATTGGACTATTTTCTAATGAGCGAATTCCAAGGATAATATAATTTATTAGTAGCAATCAGTTTGGGTCAAATGGTCGAGACGAATAAAGCATGGGCATTAAAAATACATTCATTTCATTGTAGGTGCTTTACGTGACAAGTTTTTAAACGATGGCTTGAATGCCTCGATTGCAATTTTCAATTTTTGTTTTAACTTTGAGTAGCAAATAAGTAAACACACTAACAGGTGTAACATAATCAAATTATCCATCTTTATCCCATGCCTTTTTTTACGTAACAGATTTAGATAACCGTAAAATGGATAAACATTGTTGGTTTTTATAAAAATCTAAACCGATAACAAACACAACAAACAACACAATCGGAAAAGAGATTTATGGCCTATAAATAATATCTAAGCTTTCTAGTTTACGCATATTACATATTTTTGCGTATGTATTATCAATAAAGCAGGTAAGTAAGGTCTTAACACGAATATGATAAAGTTATTAAAAATGTTTTCATCGCATGATGTTTGTACTAGATTTACACTAGCGGCATGATCCAAAACTAATACCTGAATTTACAGCGTACAGAGGAATAACATCTGAGTCCTTAGGAATGGCAACGCATGGGGAGTATCATGGGCGAAACAGTATACTCTGTTCTATCCATAGTACTGCTCATGTCTATAGGCGACGGTTACCACTTTCCATCAGGTGAGCCATCAGCTTCTTTGCCATTCTAATTTGTATAAAAAAAATTATATACTTATTTTAGCCGAATAGATCTTTTTTTATAACACATGGGGCAAACGAGCATACAGCTCATCTGTTGGTAGGTGAGCACCGCCGCCCATGATCACCCGGTGGCTATGGGGGGAAGGGACTGTTAACAATGGAGTTTGACAGCACTATTGCTGGTAAACCTCCATGTGGTTCTCCCTGGAAACCATCGTGAACAATTTTCGTTAAATTCGTCACGATAGGCTAACTGACCTGTTTCATCCTCATCTATCATCCTTCACTGGTGCCTCGCCGGTGTATACCGATAGCGCGGGTGGGGTTACTATTTCATTATCACCTATAAAAAAAACCCCCGATAGCCTTTAAAAAAGGAATATGCTCTTTTCTTGAAGATTATGATATCGTATCGGTTCAGAAATACTACTGGTGGAAGTTGATTCCAAAAAGTGGTTGTACGTGGAAGAAAGTTTCTTGAAAAACGCCACTCATCCAAATGGTTGGGATAGAACTCTTTACTTTTTGGAGGCTATTTTATCCTTTTCTTCCAGATGATCGCAAAAGTGGACGTCACTGGATATATCAACGCCAAAGACCTGAAAAATTTACTGTATGTTTCTTTTTATAAGTAAGAATAACCTTGCCTGCGCTATCAGTAATACTGATTCAGTATACGCTGGCAGTGCACCAGTAAGAGATAATAGGTGCGGATGAAAGCAGGTCAGTTAACCCATCCTAACCCATCGTGATGAATACCATATAAAATAACTACTATGGTTTCCAGAGGGAACCACATGGAATTCGTCCTGATAGGAGGGAATATTGCTAGCATCGGGGCTGTTATTTCCCGTAAATAATAATCCCTTTTCCCCCTTACTATATGGTTAATTACCCATAGTAACTGTGAAACAATAATAGGTAGAATAATTATTAATCCATGAGAACAACAGACAGTTGCTTTGTCATGTTTCTAATAAATAAAAACGGAATGGCCTAGGCTAATGATATACAAAGACGTGGTATCAGCGGTATATGAAACAGTAAAGAAGAAATCAAATTAATCGGCCCATTGTGATTATTTCCTCTTGAATTCGTTTCCAGAGAGATCGCGTTCAGGTCGACCTGACTGAAGCCTTCTATTTGGGATATTTGGTTATTTTACAGTTTAGTAATATATTTTTCTGTTAAAATTACTAGCCACGGCTAACATTTCCCGTAATAATGCAAATAGACTATCTATAACAATTAGTTCCAGCTGTATTAGCTCTAGATAGCAGTTGTCTAACTGTATACGACAGTTAATGTCGCACGTCGAGCAAACGGTAGCTTATTCTACTAATTCTTACTAATATTAAAAATGCGAAAATAAGTTGGTTTGTTTGTTGCCACTTAACGGTTCAACACCTTAACCAATCGTCATAAAATTTTATATATTAGGTATACTCGTATGTTCTGATAGACATAGGATATGCTTTTATTTCGCGGGTAACACTAGTATTTTCTTCTTCTTTCTATCCTTTCTCCATATTTATTTGAAGTCGGTGTCATATATTTTCTTCTTCTATTCATTTATATTTGGAATCGTCTCGCTATTCACTTCATTTCTGGCCATATGATCTGTCCATGCATCCCTTTCTGAATCTTCTACTTTATAACCATTCATATCCATACTTCATTCGTTTGTTATCTTCTTTCCTGAGAACTAATATGTACTATATATACGAGAGTATGAAATGGCGAGTGAAATTTAAAAAAAAAAAAAACAAAATTGAAAGCGTGTTTAAATAAAATTTGATATGCGAGCAAAGC